TCTTCCTGTGTGAAGCGCCAGACCCATTCACACTATGAAACGATGATGATGATGTATGTTCAGGGCTGCATTACAACATTGATTGTTCGGATCACTAGTATCTAAGTCTTCCTCTGTGCTATCTTATACTTTGTATTGAAAGGTCGGTTCTTGTTCTGGTCTGCACTTATACGGTATGCAACAGTGACCCAGTGCTTCGTCCAGGGCCCTTCAGAAAGCAACGCCCTCTTCCCCCTGATGCTCCACAGGAAGTATGCCGACTCTCAAGGCTGAGCGCACTCGACACCTCACTATGAGAGGACTCTCAAGTTAGATCACACAACCTCACGGTAAGAAGTGTTGGAGAGGGCAGATAAGGTTGGGAGTAACGTACCTCAATGTTGCTGCCCCCAACCACAGAGATAATCTCACCAGATGACCCAATGGCAATTGCGATGACCAGTCACTGCATCGGCACAACCAGCATTATCCGCCGTTCCACCTCAGCATCAATCGCACATTAGGTAGTTCTCATCACACTGTCCAGACCACATTCACCTTACGTAGCCTTCCTGGCGATTCCCCTCACCTCCTGGGTCGCCACACACTCGTCTCCACCCTCCTCACTACACACCACTTACGGCCAAACTCACCCAGCAGACCGCATGTATGTACCGCATAAGGCAGAAGATAAGCGCCAGATGAGCGCAATCGTACCACATCTCCAATACCAAGTTGCAAGGAAGATGAGTGATAGCGAATTCCAACAATCAAACAGCATCATACATATGAGTCCAGATAGTCTTGACCTCGAACCAAATGCAGAATTGCATCACGAGATACACCAAATAAGAACACACCAAGAGTTCATCATTGACAATGCTGAAGTAGTCCCATCATCATCAGCGAAGAACCAGAGTTGATATCCTATTGGCGCTCGGCGCCCAGACTACATGTGGCAGATCCTATCTAGCCTATACTACGAAGCAGAATGATGACATCAACAGCGTTCCCGAAGTACGAGCATATCGCGACCAATGTCGCACGCTTCAGCACCAGGTATGTCTTGCACTACCCTCACAACCTCGTTCCCCAACTCACAGATGCCACTAGCACCCAAGGACCACCCTGCGCTTCACCCAGCATACAGCAACGCAGCTTGGCTATGGCTGCGTGCTCCTTCCCTGCTCGCCCGTGAGAGCATAGGCGCCAGCCGGCAAATAGCGCAGCAGCAGCGCTTGCGCAGCATGCAGCCAGCACCTGAATGCCGAATGAGGAGGCAGGCCCTTCCCTATATCGAAGTGGCCTGCCTGCATCCAGTCCAGGAAGCTTCCAGTAGGCCCCGGCAGCCTGAGGCCCAGTCACGAGGAAAACAGGCCTTGGGCCTGAAGTGGTTGCATGTGCCCAACTGCTTTCGGCCTGTGTTTGGCCAGGTACCCGTATCCAGCCCAGGGCCTGCTTCACGTACATTCACACAGGCGGCCCAGGGCCTGGGTTCACTCAACCAACTGGCGCTCGCAACTGCCTGAATTTCCCTGAGTTGCGTAGTGGCCAGAAAAGGGCCCTGGGGGCCTCGTCGAGCCTGCCTTCACTTAGGGCGGCCGACGGGCTGTGATAGTGGGGCCTTATGGGGCTCTAGAGGCAGTGGCCTCGCAATATATATATCGTCACATATATATATATATATATGTGTGTGTATATATATAGATAGATAGATAGATAGATAGAGATAGAGATAGAGATAGATAGATAGATAGATAGATAGATAGATAGANAGAGAGAGAGAGAGAGAGAGAGAGAGAGAGAGAGAGAGAGAGAGAGAGAGAGAGAGAGAGAGAGAGAGAGAGAGAGAGAGAGAGAGGAGGGAAGGGAGGGAGTTAACACATGCATGAA